CTGGAGTTCACTCTGTAGACCAGATTGGCCTCAAACCCACAGAGATTCTCCTGTTTCTGCCTCCTGAGTGCTGGGATTAAAGGTGTCACCACTATCCCTGGCCTTCCCAACTATTTTAAACAATATTGCAGTGAATATCTTTGTGTATGTGTATATATATTCAAGGTGTGTGTATGTGATGCATATATGGTATATATGAAGTACATGTATAAGTTATATGTGTGGTATATACATGGTGTCTGGGCGGTATGTATGCAAATTGTATATATGGTGTGTATATATATATATGGATATATATGTTGTGTGTGAGATGTATGTGAATTGTGTGTGTAGTATTTGTGTGATATATGTATGATGTATGAGGGTGTATGTATTACATATGTATTATGTGTGTGTAGGTGAAATGCATGTATCCTCTTAAGACTATAGACTTGTTTCTGCTTATCACAGCCTAAGTGTGGCTCCTTATCTCTCACCCTCTCTCCCTGCTCTTAGATTTGCTTGGAATGGCAAACCCTTCCTAAACTCTCTCTCTTACGGTCCTGTACCTTATGTCATCTGGAAACATGGGGGCTTCCAGGCAGTGGCCCAGCTTTACAAGTTGACTCCTGGCTCTGTGCCTACAGGTCACTGAATGGGGCTCCACATATCCCTGTAGCTCCCTCCACCTGTAGCTCTGCACCAGACTTCTAAGTCAGTCTGTGCAGACATATGTCCAACCAATTGGAACTGTGTATCTGATAGTTTCTGGAAGCTGTTCCTGGGGTGAGGAGGAGAGAAGCCAGGCATTTGGAAACTGCGCTTAAGGAAGACATGAGACCCAGGCCTGAAGATGGGTCTGTCTGTGTCAGAGTAAAAAGGAAGGTCAGGGGTGAGAGGGACATTGTAGAGGAGGATAGGCAACCATGTCGCCAGGGAGCCCATAGCATGAAAATGCCAGGAAACCCTGTGCTCAACCACCTTTTATGGACGCAGGAGGGGCCCCTTCAAGAGGAGAACTTTGTATTGGAGAAGAACTTGTACCAGGATCTTTTGCTACAGGATAGCAAAACTAAAATGTCTTTGGTCTTGCCCCTGTGTTAGTTGAGTGGTCTACAGTCCCTGCAGCTGAGTAGGGCCTGGCGGGAAGGTCTAGGCCCTCTGGGTATCTGGGTGAGGCTCTGTTGGACCCTTGGATATTCTGGTCTCAAGGAGGCTCTGCCTGCTTCGATTTCTCCTTCAGGCATCCCTTCTGGTGTCTCCTTAGGATGCCCCTGCCCCTGCCCCAGAATGATTGACCTTCCTCCTTTATTCTCTGCTTCCTTTGGTTTTTGGAATCCCATGTGGATAAGAGATGATAAAGGTGTGTCTGTTGATCTTCTGAGCTTACAGATTCTAGAGTGATTAAAAACAAAAAACTATAAAGAGAATGGTGTGTATACACACACACACACACACACACACACACACACACACACACACACACACACACACACACACATACATACACACACCATTAAGAGAGATGGATCTGAGGCCAGCCAAGGCTACATAGTGAAACCATTGGGGTGTGGGGGTGCTCTCATCTGGCAGAATATTTCCCAAATTTTCTTGCTCCTTGAATTCCCAAGCTCTGGAGGATCAAGATAATTTATGGCTGGGCCAAAACTAGAGCACATCCATTTTGGTATTGATCAAGGGCCTGCTTTAGTCATTGTGAGACTGAAAGCAGACTCTGGTCCCTCTTGGTGGCACCCTGTGTCATCCGTCACCATAGCTGTTCTGCTGGTGGCCCAGCCTTCCAAGTTGATTCTTGGTTCTATCCCTACAGGTCACCAGCTTGGACTTCACACAGCAAGCAGCAAATGGGACTTGGGGAACCCACCTGGCAACTTGTCCACGGTAGCAGCAATGCCTGTGTCTGAGGACGTGCCCCTAACTGCCTTTGCTCTGGAACTCCAGCATGCCCTCAGTGCCATTGGTAAGCTACACAGAGGTCCTGAAGGTAAACATTATCCGTTCCTCAGGAACTGTGGGCTGCCTACCCTCTATCCAGGGGAGGCTCTACTCTGAAGGAGCCCTCCACATTAAGGGATTTCCAGGCCTTGAGATCTTCACAGGCAGAGAGTATGTAATAGTATATGATGTGTTAGAAACCCTTAAGATGGAGGGACCCAGAGACATTAGGAGAGCCCTCTGTACTGACATCCCCCCATCACAGGCCTATCGTTGTAGGTTCTGAGCCTGCTAGAAGTGTATGCCAGCACTCTGCTTGCTGGAAAATAGGTATGGGAGTAGATGGCCATGGAGCTTGCTGACCTGATAGAAAATGCCCTTGGATGGGATCAGGTAGCTTTGGTAGGGGATCGGTTAGAACTAAACCACTCTCTGGGCCAACAGCTGGAGTACGTTAGTCCTAGGATGAAACCTAGAGCTGGTCATCCATCAGGAAGAAGTTGTTCAATTTTAGAGGCTAGAGCTGGCAAGATGGCTCAGCAGTTAAAGACATCTTATACCCAGCCTGACAACCTAAGCTTGACCCCCAGTGCCTGCAGGGGAAGGAGAAAGCCAGCTCCTACAAGTTACTCTCACCGCCACACTCATGAGCAAGCGGATAAATACATATATGTTTAAAATTGGGGAATCTAAGAATAGGAAATTAAAACTCAAGAGAATTCTTGAAAATTTCCAAGTTCATAAGGTATTCTGTTTTTCTTAACATTTTTTAAAAACTTGTATTGATTCTTTGTGGATTTCACATCTTGCATTCCAATCCTAATCTCCCTGTCCCCTTGCATCTGCCCTCTGCCCTTGAAACCTACCCCCCATAATCAAAACCAAATTTAAAAGAAAATCTGAAAACCTAACAAAATAAAGAAATACAACAGCTACAAAAAGAAGAATCTTCTTGTGGCAGCTGTAGTGTGGCCTGTTGGGTCACAGAGTGTACCCTTTAGTCCATTCATTGCCACATTTTAGTTACAATTTTTGATCTAATTTTGAGTGAGCATATGATAAGATACTCATGGTAGGTTATAGTAAAAGTTTCAGGAATGTCTCTGTAAAGTGGTACAATAGTGAATGCAGTGCTTATGTCCAGTAATCATAAAATAAGATATTATTAGAATATCTATTTCAGAACAGCACAAACACTTCCTCTACCCTACAGATACTTAAATTATATAAAACAGTGGTTCTCAACCTGTGCGTCATGACCCTTTTGGGGGTCATGTATCAGATATCCTGCATATCTGATATTTATATTACAATTCATAATAGTAACAAATTACAGTTATGAGTAGCATTGAAATAATGTTATGGTTGGGGTCACCACAACATGAGGACCTGTATTAAAAGGTCAAAGCATTAGGAAGATTGAGAACCACTGATATAAAACATTAAATAATGCAAACCAAAGATCTGTAAAATTGAAAGATACCATAGTGTTGTTTTTTTAAAAAAAGATTTATTTATTATGTATACGTATGCCTGCATGCTTGAAGAAGGCGCCAAATTTCATTACAGATGGTTGTGAGTCACCATGTGGTTGCTGGGAATTGAACTCAGGACCTCTGGAAGAGCAGTCAGTGCTTTTAACCTCTGAGCCACCACTCCAGCCCATAGTATTTATTAGCTGTGAATTATTCTTTTTTGTTTGGTTTTTTTTCAAGACAGGATTTCTCTATGTAGTTCTCTGCAGACCAGGCTGACCTCGAACTCACAGAGATCCACCTGGCTCTGCCTCCCAAGTCCTGGGATTAAAGGCGTGCGCCACCACTGCCTGGCTTATAAATTATTCTTAAATAAAATAAAAATATAGTGGTATATTTAAAATAATTTAAAATTATTGCGGTTTTTTGTTTTTGTTTATATTTTTTTGTTTTGTTTTTTGAGACAGAATCTCACTCACTGTGTAGATGGCTGTCCTGGAATTTTCTTTTCTTTCTTTCTTTCTTTTTTTTTTTTTTTTTTTTTTTTTTTTGGTTTTTTGAGACAGGCTTTCTCTGTGTAGCTTTGTGCTTTTCCTGGAACTTGCTTTGGAGACCAGGCTGGCCTTGAACTCACAGAGATCCGCCTGCCTCTGCCTCCAGAGTGCTGGGATTAAAGGCGTGTGTCACCATACCCAGCTTGTATGATAGTCTTGATCTTTGTTTTGCAATCCATATTGCAGGTGTATAGAAAGTCCTGTTCATTTTCGGTGACATTGGTTAGATTGTTCAGGCTGCATCCAGTGCAGTGTCAAGTTGCTCTGTGGAGAAAACTTTTTTAATTCAAGATAATTATAGAATCACAAGAAATGGCAAAGTAAAGAAAGGCCCCCATGACCTTTTCCAGTGTCCCCTATAATAACACCGCACATGATGCTAAGACTACTCTGAAGGTCAGCTCCAGACTCATTAACTGTTCTGGTGCACGTGTATGTATGTGAACGCACATATGACTATAACATGAATCTTAAAATGGTCTTTTAATAAAAAACCCGGTACCAGATATTGGTGGAAGTGCTGAAAGATCAGAGACAAAAAAAAGACACCTCTTACCTCTAGGACTCCTCAGCCTGAAAAAGCCTCTAGCAGAAAGGGATGCTTCTGACAAAAGCTTCTAGTTCCTGTCTCCTCATGCCTTATATACCTTTCTCTGCCCAGCCATTGAAGGCTATGTGCTTCCCAAGTACTGGGATTAAAGGTGTGTGCCACCACTGCCTGGCCTCTATGTTTAATCTAGTGGCTTGTTCTGTTCTCTGATCTTCAGGCAAATTTTATTAGGGTACACAGTGTATCACCACATGTGCCCCCTCCTTTGACACAGCATATCCTGGTAGCCAGGACGATACCAATGCTGCAAAGCTCATTGCCATAGAAACCCTTCCAGCTGCCACTTTAAAGCTGCCACATTCCATCAACACCCTTCTCACTGACATCCAAACAACTAACTCTCCTTAATCTCTGATTTTTGTCATTCTGAGAAAGTCATAAAAATAGAATCATAGCATGTGGCCTTGTGAGATTTTCTTTCTTTTTAAAAATATGGAACCCTTCACAAATTGGCATATCATCTTGTTCAGGGGCCATGCTAATCTCTGAATTATTTTTATTCAGTTTTAGTGTATGTGCTGCCAAAGCGAACATGACTTGCTTTCTTTTTACTGCTGTGGTGTATTCACACCACTGAGGGCATGTTTCAGTTTATGCAGCTACTCATTATTGAAGGGTGTTTGGATCGTTTCCAGTTTGGGAATACTGTGAATTAAATTGTTGTGACCATTTGTGTAATGGATGGATTTTTTTATACATATAAATTTCCATTTCTCTGGAGTCTGAGTATGTTCAGTCTAATAGGAAACTGCTAGGCTTTCTCCACAATGTCTATACCATTTGTATTCCCACCAGCAATGTGTGAAGGGCCAGTTTCCTCACATCCTTGCCAATATTCTGTGTCATGACTATTTTAATTTTAGCTATTTTAATAGGGGCATAGTGACAGCATGCCCTAATTTTATTTATTTATTTATTTATTTATTTATTTATTTATTTACTTACTTACTTACTTACTCTTAATTTTTGAGACAGGGTCTTACTATGTTGTCTTGGCTGGCCTGAAACTCTTTAATTTCTTCAACTCTTGTTTTTGTTGTTTGTTTTGTTTTTTTCTTTTTTTGGAGCAGCGTCTTACTATGTAGCCTTGTATGGCCTTGAACTTACAGAGATCCTCCTGCCTCTGCCTCCTGAGTGCTGGGACTAAAGGTGTGTACCACCATGTACCCTAATTTTAATTTACTTTTCTCTGTTGGTTTATGACAGTAAACATTTCATGTGCGGATTTGCTCCCTGTATATATTCTCTGGTGAAATGTCTGTTCATATGTTCTGCTTGCTTGCTTTTTTTCTTCCTGTTTTTGTTTGTCTTATTGCTGGGGTAGAACCCAGGGCCTCACATATGTTAAACAAGTGCTCCACTTTCAACTACATCCCAGGCCCTTTTTCTCATTTGCTAATTGGGCTATTCCTTTTCTTACTGTGGCCGCTGGTAGGGAAGGGGACTCACTTTTTAAAGCCAGGTATGGTGAAACACACCTGTAATCCCAGACCTGGTGGGCAGAGGCAGGAAGGCTGCTGCGAATTTAAGCCAGCCTGGTCTTCAGAGTGAGTTCTAAGCCAGTTACTACAATATAGAAGGACCTTGACTCAAAAAAAAAAAAAGCTTTGTAGGAGCAAAGCAAAATTGGGAAGATTCGTGCTACATACATGGATTTCGTATGTGTTCCCTGCCCCTCACCATGTCCAGCTATCCTCACTATCAGCATTCCTTACCAGAATGGAACTTCTGTCATCACATCACCACTGCCCAGGGTCAGAGTGGGCATGAGGAGTCACCCCCGTTGCTGTTCGGTGGGTTTAGGTGTATGTGATGACGTGTGTTCACTACTGCAGTACCACTCAAGGTGTTTTCACTTGTCCTGAGGGTGCTCTGTATGCTCATCCCTTCTCCCACACAAACCCTGGAAACCACCGATCTTTATGTTGTTTCCCTTATGCTGTGTGATACAGGATGTTTTTTCATGTGCTTTTTCTTCTGTGCATCACTGCTCAGCTAGACCAGCTAGCTAGCAAGCTCCCGGGAGCCTCCGTTTCTGTCCCGCCAGTGCTGGGGCTGCAGTGAGCCTGGAGTTTTTCATGGGTGCTGGGGGTCTGAACTCAGGTGCTCAGGCTTGCATGGCAAGTACTTCACCAACTGAGCCATCTCTCCAGGCTCCTCCCTGGTTGTTCTCATATTGTTGAAATTTGAGAGTCCATTGTATCTATTTTAGACAACAGTTTCCCGTAAGACACTCCTTTTGTGAATAGTTTCTCCTGGTCAGTGTCTTGTTATTTCATTCACTCAACAGTGGCTTTTATGGAGCAGGAATTTTTATATCATGTAAACACACCTTACTGGCTATTTATTTCTTGGATCATGTCTTTGAGTTACCATCACCAAACAATGCTCTGCTTATCAGCTGGTCTGAACCTGGTGAGAGAGAATGCTCACACACAAGGTGCACACATGTCTGTGACACGCTCCTGGGGAAACATTGTAGCGAGCTTTCTTGTTGGACTGTCTTTGGATCACCAGCTCAAATCATGACACAGAGACTTCTTATTAGTTATGAAAGCTTGGCCTTTAGCTTCAGCTTGTCTCAGCTAGCTCTTATAACTTAAATTAACCCATTTATATTAATCTATGTTCTATCACATGGTATTACCTTTGTTCCATCTTGCACCTTCTGTTTCCTCTTTGTGTCTGGCTGGTGACTCCGCCTTTCTTCTTTCCAGAGTTCTCTCTACTAGGAAGTCCCACCTATACCTCCTGCCTAGCTATTGGCCATTCAGCTTTTTATTACATCAATCACAGCAACACATCTTCATACAGTGTACAGATATTCCACAACAAAGCATGAACAAGTAGCTCACTACTCAACCCAGATAGGGAACCAATGACAAGCTAAAGTATGGGTACCACCAAAGTCTAACTTGGTGAACCAGTGAGTTTTATTTGGTTTCTTACAGGAATATGGGTAAAGGGTTACTTACAGGAGCAGAAATTACTCAAAGACAGCTACATCACCAATAGCCCGCCCCAGCATGGGTGACAGCTATGAAATCTGAAAACCTAGTGCTCACTACATAACCTGTAGGCAGCTTACCATGTTGACGAGCATCCTTTTCAGGCAGCTCAGCTGGTCTCTGCTTCTTTGAGTTAGCTATCTGCCTCTACTAGGCCAGTCAGCTGGTCTGAGAATCTCAGCACTTCTTGCTGCTTATATACCCTTGGAGAGGGAAGAACCTAGTGAATCTGGTTAGTTTCAGTGACTTCCTAGAATTATGTGAGTTGTTTACTTCCTTAGCTTATAGAAGTCCCCTAGAGGATGGAATACTTCCTCTCCCCTTATAACATCCGTTGCTTCAGCTCCTTTTAATATCCTGTGTCTTAATGAGCTCCCCTCTAAGATGGGAGGTTTTATTTAGGAGGAAATTGCTACACAACACCAGAGCAAGTTTATTGGAGTGGGCAGCAAGGAACAACAGGTGCACTGGTTCATTATCAGCTGGTCCCTAGAGTTCAAGAGGCTGCTCAGGAACCTGGAAAGCATCCTGCCTTGGGTATCATACCCCACAGGACAGGACGAGCTGGGTCAGAGTGTTGGAGAATATCCTGTGTCTAAGAGCAGGAGCTGAGCCCAGCTCTCCTGACCTACCCGTCCCTGTCTCAGGAACCAGCACATCCCATGGTGATTCTTGAGAATTACAAGAAAGGGGAGAAGTGGTAAGTTCAAGACCACCTGGAGAACCGTCCTGTCGGTTGAACCAGAACTCGCATTTAGAAAAGCCACATTGTGACTGCGCAGTGGTGGCGCACACCTTTAATCCCAGAACCCGGGAGGTAGAGGAAGGTGGATCTTTGTGAGTTCGAGGCCAGCCTGGGCTACAGAGTGAGATCCAGGACAGGCACCAAAATTACACAGAGAAACCCTGTCTTGAAAAACCAAAAAAAAAGCCACATTGTGCCTGCCTTTGCCTTGAGTTGGGTGACTGCCTTTGATACGTTCCTTTCATTTCCAAAGGCGTTACGCTTGTGAAGGATCCAGGCTGAGAAGTTTTTTTTTTTGTTTTGTTTTTTTTTTTTGGTTTTTTTTTTTTGGTTTTTCGAGACAGGGTTTCTCTGTGTAGCTTTGCACCTTTCCTGGATCTCGCGCTGTAGACCAGGCTGGCCTCGAACTCACAGAGATCCGCCTGCCTCTACCTCCCGAGTGCTGGGATTAAAGGCGGGTTTTTTTTTGTTTTTTTTTTAAAGATTTATTTATTTATTATGTATACAGAAGAGGGTGTCAGATGTCATCACAGATGGTTGTGAGCCACCATGTGGTTGCTGGGAATCGAACTCAGGACCTCTGGAAGAGCAGTCGGCGCTCTCAATCTCTGAGCCACCTCTCCAGCCCCGAGAAGTTTTCTTTTATTGTAGAAACTTTGTGTTGTCCCCTTGTCCTCTGGCTTCAGTGCTGTCCAAGCCAGCAGGGACCTGGCATAGCAACCTGGCTGCCCGCTGCCTCAGGCTACGCTCCGTAGAGTGAAGACCGGTGGTTCTGGTGAGACTCTTGACTTTTGGAATGCCTGGTTCCAGTGAGGCCAGAGGCTCCCCTCACCCAGACTTGCCTACCTGTGCTCTGTAGGAAGAAGCATCCAGACCCCCTACACAGAACCCAGAGCCTTTGGCAGACAGAGACATGGTCAGCAGCATCTAATGGGAAGGGCTGGAAGCCTTGACTGTGAGAGCCTAGAATACTATATCTAGGGAGCTCTACAATTCCTTTATAGCTCCCAAATCAAGCAGAGGAGTTTAGACAGGAGAAGTACCCTGAGGGTAAATGGATCTAGCCTGGGGTCAGACCAGCACCTCCATGTTTTATGTAGCAAGATACCATCTATCTTATGCAGGAAGGCCTCTTGACAGGAGGAGGTGGAGAAAATGTGTTGCCCATCCACTACTGTCCAGGTTGGGGAAGCACTGGCCTTGGAATGCCTATAGGACCTGCTACCCTTTGCTTTTCACCTCTGTAGTGGGACAGGTTTGCCTGCTTAAAAAAATTCCACTTTTTTTCTGTTATTGTTGTTCTGGTTGTTGTTTAATTTTTTTGAGAAAAGGCCTTATTTTGTATCTCCGGCTGGCCTGGAACTCAACTGTGTAGACCAGGCTGGCCTGGAACTCCCAGAGATCCACTTCCCTCTGCAGACAGGTGCCACCATGCCCGGCTACATTTGTACAGTTTAATTTAAGAGTTGTGATCACCACATTCCAGTAGCCTTCCCAACTGTAAAGATACACTTATTCTGTATGCCTCTAAGAAGCAGCTTCTAATTAAAATATGATACTGTTGTCAGATGCAGTGGTGTTTGCTTGTAGTCCCACCTACTTGAAAGGCAGAGCTGGGTCAATTGCTTGAATTTAGGAGTTCAAGGCCAGCCTAAGACCCTGGTGCGTGTGCATGCATGCATGCATGCATGCATGCGTGCGCGCACTCGCGCTCTTATGAATTAGCCTGTTTGTTTGTTTTTTGTATATATGTGTGGTTTTTGTTTTTTTGAGAAAGAG